TCCATCCCAACCTGGTGCCCTCTTTGGAGACCTGCATCACAACTCTGAACACACAAGGCCACCCATCTGAGCAGGCCGGGGCAGGTTCCCTGGCATGTCCAAGAAAACATCTGCAGTGATGCCCAGAAAGAGAAAAGGAAAGCCTAGAAGACACATCCTCTTCTGTCTGGATTGCTCCTGAACGTATGTAAGAAAATTCAGGCTGGAATGGGGTCCCTGCTCTTATGAAAACCTGGTCTTACATAAAACCTCCACTTTGAATGACATTTTTCATGAGAAATCAAACAGTAAGGAAAAATTTGCTGAATCCTAAAATACAATTGATTATGTCCTATGGTTGTACTAAAGATCATTATCCCCGCTTTAGAGAAGAGCCCCATTGGGGAAGAAGTGCATCACAAATTCAGCTGTCATATCACAATCACTGCTGCCAAAGAATTCTGGAAGAGATCCTTTAATCCCATTACTGATGCCACAAACCAATGAGGAAGATGAGCGTCATGGCTTCAAAGAATATATGACATTCACTTCTCAACATGGTGTGTGGGAAATTTTAAATCTCTCTTTTCACTTTTTACCCCATTAATCATTCATCCTTTCTTCTATTCAGTAACAACAATTTATTGAATATCTACTATTCGGTATACGGCATACTTAAGACAGAGCAGTAATAGCACACAAACAACCTAACTCTCGCTTACTCTGCACCAGGCACTGATCTCAGCAGACACATTAGCTCTTTAATCCTTGAACCAGTCCCCTGAGGTAAGGACATGTCCACTTGGCAGACAAGCAACTGAAGTCCAGAGAAATTATTACCCTGGGTCTTCACTTAGTGTCAGACCAAGGGTGGAAACCCACATCTTTTTACTCCAGTGTCCATGATCTTGATCTTTACACAATATGAAGAAAAACAGACATGGTTTTATAGACCTCTCCATGTACTGGAGATGACAGACATTAAACAAACACACAAACACATTTATCATCTCAAACGTCGGTAAGTACTTTAAGAGCAAGGTGCCATGAGATAGAATCAATATAACACTGCAAAGGTTCTCCTTGCAGGCTTAGAAATGCAGTGGTTACCTTCTGATGATTCTCATCTCATCCAAGCAACAAAGTTATACAATTTAAGAAAGCAAGTTGGCTAAAAAGAGCAGGGGGAAATCTAAGGGTGCAGACCTGGGGAAAGTGACTAAGCAATTCAGTCCTTAACCCCTGCCATCTTGGTAGCCCTTCTTGTTGGTATACTCCAAATGACAAGAGGGGAGGGATATGGCAAATGCAATCCCTTCTCCTAACATTATTCTTCCTGAATAAAGAAAGCCAACATAGGTCTGGTGCCCCTTCTTCACAGAAGACAGCAATTATCTCCTCATCTGCTGCTTTTAACCAGGAAATCCATCGTGGATGTCTAAAAAACCTTAAATTGTATCTTAATGCTTTAGCTTATTTTGTTTTTTAAAGACTTTTTTATTTTTCAGTAATCTCTACACCCAGTGTGGGACTCGAATTTACAACCCCAAGATCAAGAGTTACCTTCTTAAAAAAAAAAAAAAAAAAAAAGATTTCTTTGGTCTGCAATGGTTAACATAACACTTGGGCTTCTGGAAACAATTCCAGACATGGCTTATAGTCAATAAAACAAATAAACAAAACAACACTTTTATGAGACCTGGCTATTAATAGACTTGAAAACAGACCAAAACACTGATTTAAAGAACAAGAACATGAAAACAGAGAACCAAGTTCCCAGAGAAACAAAATTCCCCTTCCATCCTGATTATTAAAAAAAAAAAAAAAATCTGGACTTTATTACCCTACTTGACCAATTACGGATCTTAGAGTTAGAGAAATCATACAGAAAAAAGTAACGTCTCTTTTCTTCTCAAAGAAAAGAGTTTTCCTCTTAGAGTTAGAGAAATCATACAAAAAAAAGTAATGTCTCTTTTCAAGTCTCTCTGTAGATTAGGAAAATTATGCATCTCTGATTGCTATTGCTTATTTTATGTATTATTTTTATGTCTTCAATCTTTATATTAGGCATGGTCCATAAGTATAGGATTACATCCAGAAGTAGTATGACGTATTAGCTCCTAATTCAGCAGCTTCACTCTACTGAGGTTAATAATGATTTACAGGGAAGAGTGAGAGGGACAGGGCAAGGTGTTCATAATAGCACCATTAATTATATGTGCTTCACGTATCTAGATAGAAGAGCAACATCATTTTCAGATGCAATAAATTAAGTACTTTTTCTAGTTCATTGTTCAGAATCATAAAAAGGATAACTCTTGGTGCTGAATCTCCTGCTTCATCATCTTCTTAACATTTCATATGGGATTTTATGTTCTACTTGGCTCTGGCTTACAATGTTACTATGTGAAAATGCTTAGATACCTAAATACACAAGTTAATTGTCTGACTTCCAGTGAGGGTTAAATAGTCTCTAATAAGCAAATAGTCTCATCTTTCATAGCTTGCAAATTGCACTTGAGATTAACCTAGGTACAGTTAAATTATAAGTACCAGAAGGCTTAACATTGAAGAGGAATAGTTTAAAGGTCAGAACCTAAACTTTGGAAATAGCTTCCATTATGCTAAATTTCTTATTAGTGCCATGAGACTTTAAAAAAGAAAACCATGTTAAATGTGACATTCTCCAAAAATATCTTCTATAACCCATTCCTTAAAAACCTTTGACTTTGATTAAACTGACTTTGATTCTTAACTGCCCATCATCATATTCTTCCTTAATTAATAAATTGTATTAATAAAATTATGTCCTTCTGTGGTTTATCCAGGAATAAAATACCAAATAAATTGCAAATAAGGATTTTAGAAAGTTTGCCTAGAATTTAAAGACCTGCACTCCTCCAAAAATGAAGTCTAAAAATGTCCAAATATCTTCCTTAGTACACAGGCCATCATCACATTTTAGGCTGACATATGGGAAACAGGACAGTATATTTATGTCAAACTTTTGGAAACACAACATCATATTTCACTACCCCAGAATGATTCCTGTGTGCTCTATTCCAGAAAAAAGGAAAGGGAAAAAAAAAAACAAAAAAACCACTTTAATAGTTGTAGGTGTATTAACTTCAAAGCTGGGAATTCTTCCCAAAGATAGTTTTCTTTCCTTTTTAAAATAAAACAAAAACAAAAAAACTTGGGTTTAGAGTACAGAAACTCATAAAAATAAAATATTTAAAATATGTTGTTGAGAAATCACCTGCAAATTACTTTCAGACCTTCAGAAAAACAATCTAACTTGAATCCTCAGTCTAAATAGGTCATTTAACTTAGAAAAATTAAAATTAGCTGTGCAGGGTCAATTCTTTTTCTAAAACATCTGCATCCTCAATGTCCTATTGTCTTCAAAGTCAAACCAGAACCAAATGTCAAGAACAACTGTAATATGTGAATTTATTCCAAACCTCAAAGTTAGTCTGCTTCTGAAATGGTCATAAAAGTCAACATTATATATAAAACAGAGGGCGTCTGTGGGGTGCTTGGGGCATTTCAGGAGGATAACAATATGGGGGAGGGGGAAGGGCGTGTTTCTCTGCTGGTGCTTGCTTCTTGCCTTTCACCCCCACGTGTTCCCAGAACATGGCAAATCAAAATCAGCTGAGACACACTTCATACAAAGCAAATACTTCCCTAATACAAGCTTAGTCTCCCACAAGATTCTCATATCAACCAGCAATATAAGATCATGAATCTTAATGCTTTTGTCCTGCACCTTTAAGTACAACACTCTGGTAAACTCAGGGATCAAATCCCTATTCCCCAGAAAACCTCCCCAGGCAGAAAGATAAGTACCAAATCTTTAAGGTAACAGCTTTTAAAACTAAAAACAAATAAAAATTAAAACAAAATAGAACAAAACACAAATTAGACAGTCTGACTGCCTGAGATATCCTATATTCTTTCACAACCAGATCACCCATAAAATCAAAAAGACCCAACAACGTGGGACCAGGAGGGTGTCAAGTGTCCTAGGAGGGAGGCTGCCTTTAGGAGGCAAGGCATCCAAGGTGGCTAGCAGAGTGGGAATCCGCATCGCCGGAAGCAGAGAAAGGAGTCAGTTTTGTTTCAGGATTCTCCAAAGCCACCGAGAAATGCATCCCCATCCTTTCTGGGTTAGAAGTAACTTTGATGCTCAGAAAAAGTACTTTCATATCCTCCAGCTAGCAACAATCTATCCTCCACAGGCAAAAAGTCATCAGAAATGCTACTGAAAGGGGTTTTCCTCTCGACCCATCCTCTCTAAAGCCACTTTCCCAAAACGAGATCTTGAGAAATCTTGATTCCCTCAAGATCTCTGTTGAAGGATTTGGTGTAAGGACCTTTACTGACAGGGAAACAAACGGAGGACTGACTAGATAGTTGGGGAATCGCTAAGGAACATTCTAAGCTCCATTTTGCTTAAAAGGGTGAAACCCAAAACAGAATTAGCATTTACTCATTTCCAGATGGATGATGCATTTTTTGTAACAGCCCGGGACAGAGTGAAACAGTTTCACTCCAGCACCACCCCCTCCTGAAGCAAAGACAGAAAGAGTCCCAGAGAGGGACAGAGCAGCCTGACTCTTTCCACACTACAACCTCTCCAAATCCGCTTTCCGCCAGGCTCTGTCAGCCCCTCCTTAGTCCCTCGGCTCGCGCCCTAAGCGGCCGGCCTCTTCTCCCCATCCTCAATTCCGGGCGGACTCGGCCCAGCAGCAGCCCTCCTTCCCGCGCGTCCCCCCGGGTGGCGTCCCCGGCGCTCGGGAGGTTCTGGAAAGCCCGGGACAAGGCGCCAGCGCCGGGCTGGGGAACCCCGGGGGTTCCGGCCTCCCAGGGCTTCCGCCCCCACCCCCAACGCCTGAGCGGATTAAGTTGCTCGGCACCCGGCGGCGCGCACGGCCCCCGTCCCTCCCACTCCCGCCCCTCCCGGCTCGGGCGCCCAGCGGTCCCCCTCGCCTCCACCGAGGTGAGCGCGCACTCACCGGAGGTGAGCTGCATCCAGGCACAGATCTTGTACACCGTCGCCGTGTTGCAGAAGAAGAAGAGGGTGAAGCAGACGATGCAGGCGATGATGAGCATCATGGAGAGGCCGATGAAGAAGGAGGCGGCTTTGAAGGCGCCCGAGGGCAGCGTGGAGAAGTCCGTGAAGCTGCCCCTGCAGGTCAGCTCCCGGGAGAAGCCGTTGCCGATGCAGTAGTGGAAGAGCCCGAAATAGCCGGCTTGCGGGGTGTCCACGCCGTCGCCAATCCAGTAGGGCTGGATGAAGCACACCACGTTGACGATGGCAAAGCAGATGGTGAAGATGGCCCACAGCACGCCGATGGCCCGCGAGTTCCGCACATAGTTGGTGTGGTACAGCTTGGCAGCCTCCTGAGCCGGGAGCATCGCGGCGGCGGCGGCGGCTGCGACGGCGGCTCCGGGCATTCTCCCCCTCCTCCTCCTCCTCCTCCTCGTCCTCCGCCTCCCCCCGCCTCTCCGCGCTCAGGAGACACACTCACCGAGCCGCGCGCGCTGCAACTCCCCTGCCTCTGCCTCAGCCCAGCAGCGCCAGTTTCAGAGTCTGCATCCTCGCTCCCGGAAGGAGGGCGGGGGAGCGCTGAGCACCCCTCCGGCTCGCCTGGCACAGCCTCCCGGCCCCCCTCCCTCTCTCTTCCTCCCTCCTGGCCCGGGCTCCAGCCCTCCTCACCGCCCTCCACCCCTTTTCCCACCGCCGCCGCAGCTGCTGCAGCTGAAGGCAGCAAATCCCGCGCGGGGCAGCGTGGCGCTCGAGCTCCCGCGCCCACCGCTCGGCTTCCCGCCTTCCGCCCCATCCCCCAGCCGGGTGCCTCGGGGCGCGGAGGACCGCGGCGACCCGGGGACGCCCCTCGAGTGGCGGGCGTGGGCCGGAGACGCGGGCCTGGAGTTGGGGAGGGGGAAAAAGCCTAAGGAGGACGCACGAGCCCCCACAGGGATCCTAGAGGCGAGCCCCGGCTCCCGTTGGTGTTAGGGAGCGGGCGTGGGAGGCTCATTCTGGGAGCATTTCAGCACCGCACAGCAACGTGCTTCGACCTCGGCATCTTGGCGGAGGCGAGAGGGGCTGAGCGCGGCAGGTGCGGGCGAGAGAGGCAAGGAAGAGGAGACGTGCTGCCCCCAAGAGCCTCCCTGTTACAACCACAGAACTGCCCCCTGGCTAACTCCTCGGTTGCCAGGTGTTCCACGAGGTGGAGACAGAAGTTGGATAGGAGGGTGACAGACGACCATGTAAAAGGCACACCTCAAGGCTGGCCTCGTATCTGCTCAGCTGAGCTTATTTCCTCTTCGCGTCTGCACCCTCCGCGCACCGGAACGAACCGTAGCCAGTGATGCCCTCGACTCTCCTTTAAGTCAGGTCCTTTCCCCCACAGATCCTGCCATGGATGGAGCGTGCCGGGCGCGGAAGTGGCTGTGTCACAGAAATGTGTAGTTTATCTGAAAACACTGGGTACTTTGGCTCCTGCTGTATTTCTCACGCAACTGTTCTGTGCCTAGGCACTGTGGTGGGTGCTAAGGCTACCATGAGGAGGACAGATGGTTTTCATTGTGCAGGTATCCTCCTCTCCCCCACAACGCAAAGCTCCAGCTAACCGGAGAGCTGTTTTCAGAGTCATTTCCCCTAAACGAGCCACAGTGTAATTCCTTACACTTTCATGTAGCCTTGCTGTTTTACACCTGCGCTTTGTACTATTTCCTAAGCTTAATGTTTTCCCTTTACAGTCATTCTGTTGCTCTTTTAACAGTTCCTGCCTTTCAATCTCCATTTCTTTATTTCCATTGGCTACTTTCTTGGTTTCTGAATCTGAAACAAACAAACAAACAAAACATGTAACCCCCCCACCACCACCCAAAGCAAGGAAATGAGAATACCCAACAGCAGCGACATCAGTGGTAATAAACCATTTTGGACCAGATGACCACGGATTTCTCTGAGCAGAAGGGAGAGAATTCTGTTAGAATTTGACCCCTAGGAGGCCTGGGTGGCTCAGTGGGTTAAGCGGCTGCCTTCGGTTCAGGTCATGATCCCAGGGTCCTGGGATGGAGACCCTCGGTGGTCCCCTTGCTCAGCAGAGAGACTGCTTCTCTCTCTCCCTCTGTCTGCTGCTCTGCCTACTTGTGCTCTGTCAAATAATAAATAAAATCTTAATTAAAGAAAAAGAATTTGACCCCTAGGGGCACCTGAGTGGCTCAGTCTTTAAGCATCTGCCTCTGCCTTCCGCTGAGGTCATGATCCCAGGGTCCTGGCATCAAGCCCTGCATGGGGCTCCCTGCTCAGCAGGAAACCTGCTTCCCCCTCTCCCACTTTCCATGCTTGTGCTCCCTCTCTCACTATGTCTCTCTCAGTCAAATAAATAAATCTTTAAAAAAAAAAAAAAGAATTTGACCCCTAAGTCTACACTCACTTCTCCACTTTATTATGATAAGAAAACCTGTATCAGCTCCTTGACATCACTTTGCCATTATGTCCAAACTGCTGGCCTTACAAGAAGAGCAAGAAACAAGGATACCAGCTGGAATTATGAAACTACCAGGAATGGATAAGAATGCTTGAGAATGGTTCGGTGGGAGCAGAGGATGTTGGGGAGGAAGGAAGGAAAGCTCCAAAAGGTATTCTGCCACCTGAATACCTATCGTATGGAAGAAGATTCAGATCATACCCTAAGTAATGAAGACCAGCCATGCCCATCATCCGATAACCTGAAGATTTGAGATTGTATGGGAAGAGAAAGGGAGTGGAAAACGGATATGGGACACGTGAGATAATGAAGGGCCTACTGGCTATCGTTAAAACTAGGAAAGAATGTAAAGGGATTAGCGCTGGAATCATATATTCAGTTTGTCCCATAAGCATGAAATTCAGGTAATACAGTTCCAGGTCCTTTAGGCAGGTCTTTGGAAACCAAGGGAACAGAGTTAAACAGGAGTATGAGACGTGTAAGTTTAGAAGACTAAGAATTTTATGTAAGTATGGTGGTAGACTCTCAGAAGGTCTTTAAAAAATCAGAAGGATTTGGGGGAGGTGGGGAAGGTGACCTAAATATGAGCCAGCCAGCCCAATATAACACTTGCAAGCCTCTAAAAATATAATTCACGATGATGCTGCATCATCAGTGCATTGGTGGCAATGGAGGGTCAGAACTTATGTTAGGTGTTATTTGTTTTAACTCCCCTGAAGTTGCTGGTAAATCAGAAAATCGGAATTGTTTTAGCATGGAAGGAAGAAGAGGAAAGGTGAGGGTAACTGGATTTATGGGGCCAACTGGCAGACCATGGTTCCCAGGGGCAGACATAGCTTTACAACATGAACTGACAATAATTTCTAACGATTCTCCCAAGCCCTCAAAACCCCCAAACCTGCTTGTATGAAGTGGTCTTTCTTTAAAATCAATGCCTAAAAGAGATCTTACTGCTCCCATGGGGTAGTTGAGATGGGAAGTTGCTGAGAGGGGAAAGGCTGAGCATCAGAAAGCCTAGTTTAGACCTCAGTGCTTAAATTGCCTTTATAGGACAGAGAAAAGACTGGCGAGTGACTCAGATTCAAATGTTGTGATTCAAAGAGCTTTTCTATTTGAGTCAAACCCAAGGAGAGCCCTATTCTTATTCTAGGTTTAGAATTGCCTCTAGGTTCGTGCTCAGAATCACTACACCAAGGGGCACACTCAAGATGTCCACTCTGGTCAACAGCAACTTGGAACAGACTGGGGTTGGTGTCGTGATGAATTTCAGTGCGCCCATGGATTCCCCTGAGAACTTGAGTTGTAGCTCCTTGAAGTGAGGGGGGGTTGGTCATGGACGAACTGAATGTTGCCAGTGGCCATTCTCCAGAACTTTAGCCTGCCCTGCAGATTTCCAGGATGAGCAGGGTCTCCCAAGATTCTTGGAACTAGGGATGAGGTAGAGCTCCTGTAAACTCTTCAGTTGCCATCAGTGAGTGCAATTGTCCTTCTGCCTCTTCCCGAATCCTTCCATTGCCCATCCCAACCTTGCCCTTTACAACCAGAAATCCCAGAGGTGACATTGTCCCTAAACTGAACGTGAAGCTTTTGTCTGACACCATGCACACTTTAGGGCTTCAGACAGCTCAGCACCTGGGCAGCTCATTACATTCATCAAATGTGATGCGACCACGAAAGCTGTTTGGGAGAAGAGGAAATAATAAAATTAGCCTGATTCATGCTAAGAAGTTACTATTGATAGAAGCATATTTTGAAACTATAACATGATTCATATGTGCTAAATAACTAGTAGAAGTCAGTGTCACTGACAGCCTCAAATTAGACACACTGAACATTCAAATCTCAAACTTGACTCTTAATGCTTTTCTCTTACTACCACAAAGAGTCAGTAGTGAGACCCACTCTTTTCTCAAACTGTGTCTTAATGAATGTGAGGACCATAAAGCAGAAAACAACAAAAGGATAGTTGGACTGTGTAACACAACTAAGAAAGATGCTGCGTAAATCCAAGGATGAAATATTTTGATCCCAAACTATCTGCGATGGCTTGGGAGAACGTGAAGACCTTGGAGGGCAAAAGACAGGATCCAGATACAGTGCTGTCTCTGCATAACTAAAGCTTGAGGCTCGCAGGGCTCTGTTTTCTCATCTCTAAAATTATGATGAGGGAAAGAGCATATCAGATGAATTCCAAGGTCTCTTTTCTGCAGTAGATTCTATTCAGTTCTACAAAGACTATTCTAGGATGACTTTGCAGAAAATTATAAAACCCAGTACCTGCAGAAAAATGAGGCGAGACCTAACAAGAGATATCAGACTTGTGATGCAGACATTTTATTTGAAATTGAAAATCCCTTCTGAAATCCAATCATCATAATTTTTCAGGCAATCAGTACTTAGTGTTTTCAGGTAAGTCATTGTGATGACCTTGGAAAATGGAGAAAGAGATGATTTCCAAAATCTGTTATTTCCTCAATTTCTAGGGCTATTAACAAGGTCAGTATCATCAGATCCCACTCCAGGATGTACAAACTTTAATAATGAATCTCTTTTCACTGACCAAGGATTTCCACCCTCCCACCTTAGTTCTCTGTTAGGGCTTTTCAAACAACTGGAAACACCTCTTAGTTAATCAGTAGCTAGGTCAGCAGTGGCAATCAAATGCGTTGAGTGTTTCAAAGCCCCCTGCAAATCAAGATCACATTGATCACAAGACTCTGATTTCAGGGCACCTTAGTCTATCTCACTTGCAAAAAGATGTGAGTTCCATGTATGGAAAGAAATAAGATACAGGAATATCAATCATTCTTCTTTCCCCTTTCCTCTCTTTACCCTACCCCAGTTTCTCCCCCTTTTTCTTCTATTTTGTATTGAATTCTATATAACAATCCCTCCTTTTATAAGTTCTTTCCACTTTTCCAGAACTCAGCTAAGAACATAAGTTGTTTTCACATA